CAATTAAGGTTGTCCCTCGAGCAAAGCGGAAAAGTCGAATACGAGCGCCAAAGGCTGCTGGGAATCGCTAATAAGTTAATTCATTTATTAGCGATTCCCAGCAGCCTTTCGCGCTCGTATTCGACTCTTCCGCTTTGCTCGGAGGACAACCTTAGTTGAAATAGCTGTATATTTGCCAATATTTTTGCAAGTATACACGCGTCACTTGTTTACATCCACCAAATGTCCGGGCTTAACTCGAATGCTTAAATCGTTAATTGACTTCGAGTTAAGCCCCCGTCGAAAAAGGGTGTGGCAGGGGCTTAACTCGAAGGGCTTAACTCGAAAAATACCTACCCCCTTGAGGAACTGCAAATTGTATCTATGGTAAGAGAATTCCAGATTCTGGGGGGGCATTGAAAATTTTAAAAACTTGAAGGGAGGGCATTGAAAATTTACCAATAATCTGCCCTGATAATCTGCCAAAAAATTTGAGCTTTTTTCAAGAAATCTTCATCCCCCCCCTCTCGGCGTAATAAATGTACTTTCCCTTATTGTTGCTATGCTACAGTACACAGGGAGGTACCGGAGGTCAGTACAATAAATATTATTTATTGTTAAATTGGTTAAATATTTCAAAATGAGTATAATAAAGTGGAAATTGAATTTCGTGTCGTGCAATTTTGGAATCACGCATTTGATTTCAGCCCAAGTTGCACGACACGAAGTTCAATTACCGTTATTTATTATTCATTGTACTGTGCTCTCGGTTTTTCATTGGTTAAGAGCCTACAAATAATTTTGGGTATTTGTAGGTGCCTGCGCTATTTCCAGAGGAAACAGTAATCTGCAGAGGTTATTGGACGGCGCCCGAGATATTTCAGCAGTATTTTATGTGAAAATACAAATTGGCGGGAAATTGAAAAAATCGTGGAAAACAAGGACTCAGAGAACACCAAAAAAGTGCTTGAGAGGTTTTCAAAGAATATTTGAACGACAAAAGCTTGTCAGAGCCAAAAGAACCGCCAGAATTAGTGAAATTTTCTTTCTTTCTGTCACAGAATGAATAATAAAACAATTATTGAATTCGACTTGCGCAGGATATCCAGAATTATTTAGACCTCAGTCAATGTTAATGTCAACGTTGAACTCGGTCTAATAACTCTGGATATCCTGCTCAGCTAAAAATTGCCCGACGCCGAGGGAAGATTTGTGAAAGTCCGAGGGCAAAGCCCGAGGACTTTCACAAACCTTCCCGAGGCGAAGGGCAATTTAATCGCTAATTTCCCGACTAGTCATGTTATTAGTTTGTAATACGTTATCAGTTTGTTATGATCACCAAGGGTATCGCGGGTGGTGTTTTGGTCTGATTTGGTTTGATTGTCTTATGATTGTGGGATGAACACTTTTCATATATACGTACGCACAGAAACGCATCTCCGTGTTCATTCTTTGGCATGCGCATAAACCGAATTTTCTCCCACAATTGAAATGTTCAAGATTATTATTGTTATTATTATTATTATGTAGTTGTTATTTGTCCGGTCACGAAAACGAACAAGCTTTGGCTATTTGTCCGTGAATTAATTTGATTGGTTCATGGGAATGACGTAGTTAACGCTTGAAAATTGGAAAATATAGATTAGGCACGCAATATTCAATATGGCGACACTCGAGGAGGCTGTTTTGAAAGTTGGCGAAACTTTTAAGTCTTTTGAAGACCTAAAGCGAGCCATCGAAGCTTATGAAATGAAAAATTATATTAACTACTACAAGAGAGACTCGCAACGATGGCCATTGCCCAGAAACGATTCAAAATTGACAATCCAAACCCTGATCTTGTATACTATAAGGTAAAATTCACATGTATAAAAGGAGGAAGGGATTATAAAAGCAAAGCTACTAGCCTGCTCAGCAGATCCCACCCGAAAATTTGAAGCGGAAAAATAGGGGTCTGCTAAAACGCGAACCTAATCGCGTTCCGTGACGTCGCACTGCTTGCATAAATTACTGCTTTCGCGCTTTGTTTTTGGGTCATGAATTATTAATGGCGGAAAGCGTTCTTGTTTCTTGTTCGGAAGAATTCGACAGTTTCTCGTGTGTTTTGTGTTTCCGTGTGATTGAAAAAGCCCACAAAAGATATTTAGTGTTAGGGAAGTCCAAATTTAATGTGAAAGCGGCCATCGAGAAATTACCTTTCGAAGTATCGTATATTTCTTCCGCTCATATCTGCCGACAGTGTTTGGCCAAATTACAAAAAAGATCAAGCTTACTTTTACAAGAAAGAAACATTGTTGCGGAGCTCACTAGTGTTTAACCGCTCAGAGTCGGACAGTATTTATCGAAGCTAAGAAATTCCATATTCAGCATCGCTTTAAATTCATTTGGACTAGGAATGGGAGAGTTTTCCTAAAACAAGATGAAAATCAATCAGCCTATGTTTTTGATTCTTTACAAGAGTTTGTGGATTTTAAAACCCATTATGAACCTTATTCTTAAAGATTGTCTGCTGCATTTCTCAGCTAAGTTATTATGAATATATTATTTATTTTAATAACTTTCGATTCTATTAATCACGCATTTCCTTTTAGTACTCTTGATGACGAAAATTTTCAATTAGTTTTGTATGAGATGTCGCATGGTCGAGTGAATTTTGAATCCGAAAGATTACTTAACTTAAAGTTAAATCCTTTGAATTATAATAGTCAACAGCTATCTGCTATAACACGGAATGTAGATCCGGACTCTAATTTGACGGGTAACGTTTTGAATTGTGACTTTTATACTGAATGTAGTTTAAATGCTGTGCTGGGTAATAGCCTCAGTGCAAATTGCTTATCTCTTATGCATTTGAACATACGCAGTTTAAGTTGCAATTTGAATCGCTTAGAGCAATTACTTGCAGATATAAACAATAGGTTTTCGGTCATAGGTATTTCTGAAACTTGGCTTCAGGATTCAACTCACTTTGCCGACATCGATGGATACAGTTTTATACACAATTATCGTTCTGACAAAACCGGTGGAGGGGTTGGTTTGTACATCGCCTGTGAGTATGAATATAAGATCCGTGATGACTTATGTTTTGAAGACAAAAAGATTGCTGAATCGTTGTTTGTCGAAATTAATAACCCAAAAGGGAAAAATTGGATAATCGGTGTGATGTACAGACCGCCCAGTCAAAACGTAGCTGATTTTATTTCTAATTTGAATATATTAATGGGTAAAATATCAAGAGAAAATAAGACTTCTTATATTATGGGTGATTTTAACTTAAACTTGTTGAATCAGCATTTTCATCAATTTACTAATGAATTTTTAGATATTATGTACGCAAATATGCTCTCTCCGCTAATAACTTTGCCGACTAGAATTACATCGCATTCCGCTACTTTAATTGACAACATATTCACTAACGACCTTGAAAATTATTCTTTCAGTGGTTCAATTCTGACAGATATATCAGACCACTTACCTATTTTTAGCATGTCGTGTGAGATGGCTGTGGAGGGTGATGAAGCATCATATATTGAATATCGTGACAAAAGTGAAAGAAATGTATCTAATTTTCGTAATTGCCTTTCCCGTATTAATTGGTACGATTTAGAAGATGTTCACGAGCCAACGAAGGCTTACGTCAGTTTCATTAATAAATTTAGTGTTGTCTATAACGATTGTTTTCCTCTTAAAAGGGTTAAAAAAAAGAAGTCTATGATTAGCAAGCCTTGGCTTTCCAAGGGCCTCCTAAAATCAATAAGGAAAAAGAATCGGTTATACAAACGACATTTGAACTCTCCATGTATCCATACCACTAATAACTATAAGAGATATAAAAATAAATTGAATCATTCAATAAGACTAGCAAAACGTCTTTATTATGAGCAGCAACTAAACCGAAATAGGACAAACTGTAAAAAGACGTGGAGTATTCTGAATGAAATTATTAATAAGCGAAAGCAGGTTAAGAAAGGTCCATCTAGTTTCATTATTGATGGATTGGAGCATTCTGACGCTAATGTTATAGCCAATCAATTTTGTAAATACTTTTCAAGCCTAGGTTCTAATCTAGCAAGTAAAATTCAAAATGTATCGGTTTCTCCAAATTCATTTCTTACCGGAGAGTTTGTAAATAGCATGTTCTTGGATGAAGCTACTGAGCAAGAGATTATTGAGATTGTTAATTCTATTAAGAATGGCGTAGCTTGTGGCTATGATAATATACCTGTATTTGCTGTCAAAGAATCTATTGATTTAATTGCCAATTTTCTTCCTCACCTGGTCAATTTGTCATTATCATCTGGTGTCTTTCCCGATCCATTAAAAATTGCAAGAGTAGTACCAGTGTTTAAATCGGGGAATACTAGAATAATATCTAATTATCGACCTATTTCGGTTTTACCAATTTTTTCTAAAGTATTTGAAAGACTTGTCTACAATCGTTTATTGAACTATTTGGATAAATGTGGTATTCTTACTGAACATCAATATGGATTTAGAAAAAACCACTCAACTTCTCTAGCCTTACTTCAATTATATGACAAAATCTCTTCAGCAATAGAAAGAAATGAGTTTACAATTGGAATTTTCTTAGACTTGTCTAAGGCTTTTGACACAGTTAATCATAATATTTTGTTTGCAAAAATCCAACATTACGGTATCCGAGGGAAAGCCTTACACTGGTTTAGGAGTTACTTTAGTAATAGACAGCAGTTTGTTCAATACAATGGTGCATGTTCTCAAAAAAAGATTATCGAGTGTGGCGTACCACAAGGCTCAATATTAGGACCATTACTTTTCTTGTTATATGTTAATGATATCTGTAATGTTTCCAGTGTGTTTCAGTTTGTTCTATTTGCTGACGATACAAATTTGTTTTATGCGAATAGAGATCTTTCCTCCTTATCTGAACATGTTAATCAAGAGTTACATAAATTATCTGTTTGGTTTTCATGTAATAAGTTATCCATTAACTTAAAAAAGACCCATTTCATGATTTTCAGACCAAGACAAAAACGATGCAACGTTGAGCTAGACATTTTGCTAAATAATTATAAAATCGAATTAGTAAAAGAGATTAGTTTTCTCGGGGTGATCCTAGATGAACATCTCACGTGGAAATCCCATATATCGTACATAGCCAGGAAAATTTCGAAATCGATTGGGATTATAAAAAAGGCAAGCTTTTACGTTTCTAAATCGTCGTTAGTTTTGTTATACTATTCTCTTATTTATCCATATATGCAATATTGTATACTAGTCTGGGGCTCCACTTATCCGTCAAATTTAAATCGTATTGTGTTGTTGCAAAAGCGTGTTATTAAAATAATAAACCACGAGGTATATGACGCTCATACAGAGCCTATTTTCAAAGAACTTGAGTTGCTGACTTTCCATCAAGTGTATTTGTTTCACTTAGGTAAATTTATGTTCCTGTATCATAAACAAAGGTTACCACTCAATTTTAATACTTTTTTTCATCGAGTTAGTGAAATTCATGCGTATAATACGCGGAATTTGAATTTATATTCCATTCCATTATGTAGAACAAATATTAGACAATTTTCTGTTAACTACCAAGGTGTAAAATTGTTTAATTCACTCAGTCATGATATTCGCGATGCTTCATCTGTTGGCTGTTTTAGACAAAGACTAAAAGAATACTTATTAAATTTATAGTTTTCTGTCCATTTATCACTTTTTCTTTTCCTCTTTAATTGTACTTTAATTTGTATTAGTTTGTATTAGCTATATGTAATTATGTGTAATTGTGTGTCTCTCTGGCTTGATCAGGATGAAAAAGGTAGCCCAAAATTTATAAGCCTTATGGTTTCTCTTGGGCTCCCTTGCCAGTATAATTTATTTATTTATGAATGTTGTATTTTTTATTTATTTATTTTTTTTGGCAAAATAAATTGACTTGACTTGACTTGACTTGACTTTTTAATACTCTTCATAGACAAACATATGATCTAATGTATAGTATTGTGACGTACAGGTCACATGATCGAGTGACGGGACAATGGACACATGGCATGTTGTAAGGGCGAGGACGAATCTAGAGCAGCGCTTTGTACATTCACGTTAATCATTTAAATATGTCTTCTTATTTCAGAGCGACTATATTATATATTGTACATAAAAATAGAAAGTAGCGCATTGACATTCCGTAAATTAAAACCTGTTCTGTTTTTTATAGTAATTAAATCCTTTTTGGTAATCTATTCTCAGACTTTTTTGAAATTGCATAGTGTGTTGGTTGGAGATACGAAATTAACCAGCGAAATAAAATGGAATCATGTAAGTAACTTATTATGCATGGAGTAGTATATTCAGGAAATAATAATAGAACTCCGTCTTGTTAAAATGCACATGACACAAATCCACACCTTTCTATGCATTACTTTAAATTGCCTTAAAAATTATAAAGAAATGCCTAAACAAATTATTTACAGCTCATCCCATTCCCAAGTTATCGGCCATTCTGTTTTTGTGTTATGGCATCCCAGGCTGTACTTAAGATTGCAGCACAAAGAAGAAACTCTGTCCCTAACTTTCTCGTCCACCCCGTTTCGCATTACATTACGGCTCAATTTTTCTAATATAAATATCTCGGCGATAATAATATCTCGGCGATAAATACTCCCCTTTTAAATAATAGCCGCCGTTGAAATCCTCACAAAATGACCTTTCGAACGGGGGGTCAAGTGCCGTCAAAATATTACACAAACCGAAATAATCATATATTTACTCACTACCTGGCCAAAGATTCTAAATTTCATATCCAGAAAATCTTGAATATCTTTTAAACTTTTCGACATTTGCTGAACGACTATATGTGTAAAATACTCTTTGTATTCAAGCGCTTTCGTGTACAAAATTTCGTTTTAATATGGCGAGTAAAAATATTTATTTTGAATTTTTCAAGATGTAGGATTTTACTCGCACTCGCGTACATTGCGCAATAATTGGCTAATAATAAGAAGCTCCTGTGGCCGGGATGACGTCAAACTCGCTCGTGTAGGTGCAATTTGACCTTCTGAATCCACTTCTGGCATTTGCAGGGTCACGCGATACAAACGTCGCATTGTTTTGACGGTTTTTAGTCGTATTTCCGGTTGGGATTACCTCACTTCGAGCTCACAGTCGGACAAGAAATGGAAATATATTGTTTTAATAGTTTTATTGGACGATGTTCAAACGGCAGGAGTGCGAACGGGACTCGAGACCCATGCGAGGGCACTTTCCCTCTTGAATTTTGTTTACATCTAATATCATTATTTACGACAATATTATAAATTGGTAAACATATACCAGCTGATTAATATCAAATTAGGACGGCTATTGCACCACATTCAAGTTATCATGCATATAATACAGATTTGTATAATCATGTTAAAAATTTGAAAGCTGAATCAGGATAAAACAAAACCTGGCACGAGGAGCTGGTATATGTTTACATCAGAAATAGAATTAACTATTTCTATGACATGAACAGCTACGATACAAAAACCATCAACATCAAAACTACTACTTAATAAATTGAAGTATGTTCTTGATAAGAAGGATTTAAACGTTGCCAAACTGCGAAGATCTCCAGGAGAAGCAATTTTGCACGTATGATTCCAGAGTGGAACAATACGGTTAAAGAACGGTTACTGAAAAGTGCTATACTTTTACTGACATGACGGAACTTTAAGCACTAGAGAAAGGTTATTACAATTATCCAACTATCCAAAATTCGCACTGCTCAAAATAAATGTGTACGAAACATTTTCTTTGCGCATAAAAGAGAAAATGCCAGTACCTACCTCAATCTATTGGGAATAATCAACGTTGAGAATGTTTTTAAATTGAAAATTGCAATTTTTACATATAAAATCCTTAACAACTTAATACCGTCAGTTTTTGCAAACTCCATATCCATCGCATCTACCTGTCACTCGTATAATACAAGGTTCGCGGCAAATCAAAACTTTAGCAGACCAAAAGCGTGCACAAATTACGGCAAACACACTTTTCTTTTTTCGTCATCCAATATTTGGGAAACGATAGACCTACATATTAAGCAGTCGACTTCAGTTAGAATATTTAAATCTAAATACACAAGAAAATGTATCCTAAGCCAAACGTAGAATCCAGACACTGATCCAGCCACACCAAACACGTCATGTTTCTTTTTTCTCAATTATGTAAACAGTCACAAAACAACAATTTTGTAAACGGTGGTCAACTCGAAAGCTTCTCAGCTACTTTGACCACTGTACACGATATAATACCATAATTAACTCCCTTTTTCCCCCCCTTCCATTATGATTTTTTTGTGATGTAATTAATGTCTAACTATATCTTTTGTAAACGTGTGAAATAAATTTGAATTTGAATTTGAATTTAACAAATGACACAAAATCGAAAACATCCAAATCATAAAAACCATGCAAAGTTTTAAACATAAATGTCAAATCCTTAATTTCCCTGTCGAACGCCAGTGGTAAACGATTCAGGGCAAGCAATCTCTCCTTGTAGATCATGTCACCTTTCTTCGATTGAAGGATCCATCTTGTTCTACGCCTTTGGACTTGCTCCAGATTTAATTTGTTATTATATTGGGAGGGAGACCAAACCTCTGTGGCATAGCATAATTGTGACTTGACGTGCGAAAGATACAGAGAGCGCCGGATACTGCGGTCTGTTAGCAAGGGGCATGTTCTTCTAAGCAAACCTAGCAACCTGTTCGCCTTAATTGGCTTTTATATTATTAATATGGGTAGTCCATGAAAGGTTACTGGTCACTGTGATTCCCAGATCAACTTCATCATTCACACGCTTCAATTCGGATGATCCCAGATAATATTCGAAAAGAAAAGGTATTTTACGGCGGGAGAATGTCAATATTTTACATTTTGAGGGGTTAAAGTTGATGTTGTTATCCTTACCGCTCCAAACATCCGCACACGACAACGCTTCTTCTAACTGAGAACAATCCTCTGGAGTTGAGATTTCTCTATATAATTTGTTATTATCAGCATACAGTCCTGTTGATGTAGATTCAGAAATGACATCAGGAAGATCATTGATGAAGAGTAAGAAAAGCATTGGACCCAAGATGCTTCCCTGTGGAATGGCAGAAGCGACGGGGGAGGGGGGGGGGGCATGACGAAGCAGCACCCTCTACAACAACTCGCTGGCTACGGTTATCCAGGTAGTCAGAGAACCATCTGTAAAGGTTTCCTGCGATACCGTAATCTTTCAGCTTTCTTTATCTTAGTATTGATAAACTAGGAGTTACTGTCGCAAGGAAACTGCTGCCTCGATTGGCACATGTTAGCGAGGAAACAACTTAATTTACAGTAAAGCGGATATGAAAAATCATTTTAATTAATATGAACTCTCAATACAGATTGTCCATGATCAAAATATCAACAAAACACAAATATCAACAAAACATTTAATATTTATTGTGGCCACAACGGATTTTTCTTGAAAATTACAATATCATACAGAATATTAACTGTTAAAGGAGTACTAGACTAGTTCAAGTCCATCACTCAGGGGATTGAAAATAGCTATGCTGCGCATGCGAGTGGTCAAAAAAGACGCAAAAATTTGGGAGAAAAGTAGGGAGAGACGGAATTGGATCGCTTGAAGCGCGCCGAATTTTACAGTCGGATTTTTCCTATGGAGGCGCCAATTTTTGCAAGTAACATTCAAAATGCTACAAATGTCCCAAGTCCGTCTCTCCATACTTTTCTCCTGAGACGGACTTGAACCAAGTCTAGAAGAGTACAAGACCTGTTTCATTAATGTATAAGGGAACAAAACAAGAATATCTATAAATAACAGGGAATGTCAACATTGTATGCACTTGGAATTTAAATGCTTATATTAGCCACATGCCCTTAGTATAACCTCGTTGACCTCCACGCATAATGCAAATTTTCATGATTCGCAAAGCACAAGCAATTAACATTTCCTCAATCTGAGTTAAATATTTCATTTCATTCTTGTCCTGAGAACATCGTGAACACACATATGGTGATCAAAACAGTCATTGCCTTGATTAATGTTCTCTCGGATAAAAATTGCCATAATTTGTAGATTGCTTCAGCGTCAGGTTGTGTATTTTGCTTCAGCGTCAGGTTGTACATCATTTTATTTATATTTCTCTGTAGTAGTGTACTGCAATATGTCCATGTTTTAACAAATGAGATATTCGCAGCCATCGGCTTAACCACAACCACTGACCTCACAACGCAAAACGCGAAATAGCCCGATAAATTAGGAACCATATAAGCTGCATGTGAATGAATTGTTGGGGCATCATGCACTTTCAAGTGATGCATCTGAACTGGAGGGGGGGGGGGGGGGGG